CGCGGCTGCCGAGCCGCCGGCCCGTGCCGCGCTGCCCACCTGTGTCCACGGCCCGGGAATAGAGGTCGGTGGCCCTGCCCTGCACCGTCAGCTGTGCCAGCCCGGGGATAGGTCGCCGCCTGCCTTCAGGTCCAGCTCCACATGCTCATGGTCCATCTCACCGGTCTTGTTGCGCCAGACGGTGCCCTTCTCGCCCTGTGGTGCACGGCAAGGGAGGCGCCAGGGTGGGCTGGAAGGGAGGAGCTGGGCTGGGCTGGTGCGCAGCCTTGGATGCAGCAAGAACAAGGCTTGCTGGCGTGCAGCAGGCCAAGCACCCAGCGGCGAGCGGCGCCCAGGCCGGCCAGCACGGCAGCGGGCAGGCAGGCAAACGGCCGGGGCTGGCCCGGCAGGCCAGCGGGGCTTGCCTGGCGGATGTCGTCGTCAAAGATGATGAGGTGACGCTTGTTGATGGTGCGCCCGGCAGCGTTTTCAAACACCGTGGCCGTCATGCGCATCCACCACTTGCCTCCCACAGGGATCAGGAAGAAAGGGCCTCCTTTGGCCTGCGGAGACCAGCAGGGATCCCACTAGCCGGGCATGATGCCACACAGCAGCGGCCAAATGCATGGCAGTGCGGGCGGCAGTGCAGCGAGCTGGCACATGGCGCCGGCGGCAGGCTGACGACGGGCATGCACTGGGCCGGCGCCGAGGCGCGCCACCCACCAGCACGGTGCGCTCGCCGGTCCAGGTCTGGGTGCCGATCTGGAACAGCTCGTCTTCGCTCCAGTTGCAGCTGGTGCCGTCGCCGCACTTGTACCCAGTCCGGTCGGGAATGGCCACAGGCAGCATGCTTGTCAGCTGCACGGGGAGGGCAGCACACAGTTTGGGCTGGTTTGGGGGAGAGGGTATTGGATACCTCTCGGGGGCCAGGCAAGTCTGCGCAGTATGCACAGCTGCCTCAGCAGGCAGCGCCCGCGCGGGCGCCGCACCTGGATGGTCTTGCCGTTCAGCGCTTTGTCAGAGATGTAGTATGGGTCGCCGGTCCTGTTGTACTGCTGGACGACGTTGGGGTAGGCAATGTAGTTATTGAGGACCTGCGCAGGCACCACGCAGCGGCAGGGTGGGTGGCGCAGGCGGCGGCAGGACAGCGTGCCGGCTCGGCACGCGGCAGCGGCGCTCGGCGTGCCGGCACGGCGTGCCAGGAATGCACGCGCGTGCTGGACGGCGGGTGTGCGCCTCACATGGAGCTGCACGTTGCCCGAGGCCGGCGCGGTGCTGGTGTCGTATGGCGTGGCGTCAGCGTAGCGGCAGTCGATGCGAGTGGCGGCGGGGTCGGTGCTCGACAGCGCGTGCACCTTTGCCACGGAGCCCTTGCCCAGCTTGCAGCTGCAGGCGGCAGCAGGCAGGGTGCGGTGACTAGGGAGGCAGGGGTGGGGCACGGTGCGGTGCTGGCTGGCACGGGAACAGGGTGGCAGGGTGGCGCCCGACTTACAGCTGGGGGGTCAGGCCCGGGCGGTAATAGTTGTAGCCGCAGCCCACCGCGCCGTTGTCGGGCAGGTGGATGTCAGCACACGCGGGGAGCGCTACCATTTTCTTGATGAAGTTGCCGTCGGGCTTGCGCAGCCGGATCTGCTGGTCACGGAACACAGTCGGGTTCTTGTGCTGCGCGGCAGGGGAGGGGAGGGCCGGCGGGACGAGCGGCTCGGCTGAGTGGAGGCTGGGGCAAAGCACCGGGGCAATGCGCCAGCCTGGCCGCAACCCGGTGCGCCCCACGTGTTGCCAGCCAGCACGTGCTTGCACCCTGGCTGGACGGGGCAGCGTGTGGCTCGCAGCCGCGCTGGCGCAAGCAAAACAGGGCAGGGAAGCTCCACCCGCGCCCCCTCACCTGCAGCGTGGTAATCTGATACACGCCCTTGCGATCCAGTACCCGGTTGTAGGGGTAGCAGCCGCTCTGGACGGCATGCCCCAGCGGTTGCACAGTCCTGGTGCCCTCATCGTCCTGCCACCACCACTCGTGGCTGCGATGCGCGGGACGGCGAGGGCGCAAGAAGAGTTTGGGGATTGCGGGAGGAACACAGTGATTGCAGCGCCGGCAGCCCACACCCCAGAAGAGCCAGCTGTGATGAGGGGCAGATGAGGGGCAGATGCGGGCTGCGCGGCAGTGCCGTGCATGCACCGTTTGGGCTGCCGCCCAGCCGGCGCCGAGGCTGCGGAGGCTGGGAACACCGCAGGCTGGCCTCAAGCCCGGCTCACCTGATCCATGCGGGAGCGGTTGTGGGGCACCTCTGTGGGTGCGAAGAAAAGGTGGCGAACTTGAGGTACGTGGGGGTGGGCGGCAGCGGCGCCACGCAGCCCAGGGGGCCGGCGAGGGCCAGCAGCGCCAGCACGCCGAACAAGCCGACGCGCATGGGCGAAGATGCACTCGCAGCTGCCTGGGGCCGAGGAGGGGGTGCGGCAGGGGCGCAGCGTTGCCGCAGGTCGCAGTAGGCTACGGTGATGCTGGCCGGGTTTAGGATACAAGCCTCGTTTAGCGTACTCGTGAGGTCATGAGGGTGTTGCAAGTCGCAGAGAACAGCGGGGATGCTCGGGGGTGCGGCCGCATGCGGCAACACGACCACGCTAGGGCGCGCCTTCCAGCGTCCCCCGCGTCCCGGCCCAGGAGGCGATTGGCAGCTCCGGTCACTTCCGCTGGGATTATGTGTTCTATCACGTCGCAAAGCCGATGCACAGTCCTCGGTGTGTTACACACTGAGCCCAACCAGGCACCGCCCCCCGACAGCTAGGTGGGGCTGCCGCTGCAGCTGGCGCGCAGCAGCAAGAAGGGCGGCGACGGGCTCAGCGCCGTCCGAAAGCTGCCGCCGTCCACTATGGAGCTGGGGCTGCGTTGCTGCGGAAGGACCACCGTCAGCAGCATCAGGCCGCGGGCGCCGCCCACAAACGCGCCGACGTGTGCGGCGTCCAAGCCCAGCTCCACATATGTCTGGCTGCTGCTGCCCTGGAAGCTGCCGCCGCCGACCTGCAAGGGCCACGGCAGCACAACAGCGGGTTCAGAGCAGGGCGCCTGCCCCTGGCCTGCGCATGCGTGGCGGTGCCCCTGCGGCACGGGTGCGTGACGCGTAGCAGCACCCACCTGGCTCCCGGGACAGGCAGGCTTGGCGCAGGGCACCGCGGTCAGGTTATCCACTCCCGGAGGGCACTTGAAGCAGTCCACGCCGTTGGTGGTGCCCTCGGGGCAGCTGGCAGCGCACAGGGAGGCGTTGAGGGGCAGCGTGCCGTCGTACACCTCCAGCGTCGCGTTGGGGAGGGCCAGCGTGGGAGCCAGGGGGCTGGACAGGTAGAGGAACAGGGAGGCGTTGGCCACGCTGGCTGAGGCGGACAGGAAGGAGAGGTCAAAGGAAAGCGTCAGGTAGGCGAGCTTGCGGGTGGGGAGCGAGTTGGGGAGGGAGCAGGTGGAAGGGCCGCCGGGGGACTCGCTCCACGCCCCCGTGCGCAGATCCAGCGACCCCGACGCATCCTGCACGGCGCAACGCGGCGGCAGGGCCGGGTGACAGGGCGCCGGCTCCGCCCAGCCTGCTGCAGCAGCATGCAGCACGGTGCAGCCTGGCGCAGCAGCGTGCAGCGCAGTGGCTGCATCCCTTCCTCGTATGCCTGAGGCAAGCCAGCCAGCCGTCCGGCCCGCAGCAGGCTCACGCTAGCGACATGGGTGGCAAAGGGGACCTCGGGGGTTGGCGGGCACGAGGGCGCCACCTCCAGGTATGTGCTCAGGGAGGCTGCAGCCAGGGCAGGCGTGTGCGCAGGCAGGAAGGTGGCCGCCGTCCGAGCCGTCTGCCGCGGAGCGGCAGCCGCCCGTGCCGCCCCTCCCCCGCCACCACGGCGCACTCGCCTGTCTCCACTCCCTTGGACGCATTGTCAGTGGACCTGCCCTGCACCGTCATCTTGTGCCACCCCGCGCTGAGGTTGGCCTGTAGCAGGTCCAGCGCCAGCTGCTGGTCAGCCACAAACCCGCTCTCGTTGCGGAGCACCCTGCCGCTGCTGCCCTGCATGGCGGAAGGCGAGGCGAGGGGAAGGAGCCGGAGGAGCCACTCAGGGAGGCCTGTGCGGTGCTTGGGGGGTGCCGCGCATCCGTGGAGGGCAGCACGGATGCAGCGCTTCCCTCCAGCGCAGCAGCTGCGCCTGGTGCCCGGCACGGCCAGCCAGCCCGGCGGCAGCAGGCAGGCAGGCAGGCAGCAGGCAGGCCCAGGCCCCGCTGCACAGCGGCACTTGCCTGGCGGAAGTCGTCGTCGAAGGTGATGAGGTGGCGGGGGTTGAGGGCGGCGTCGGGGCTGCTGGCCGTCAGCCGCATGCGCCACATTCCTCCCACCGGGATGAGGAAGATGGGGCCGATGGAGACCTGCGGAGGCCAAGGAGGGGGCAAGGACAAACGAGCATGCCATGCCTATCGGCACGAGGCCGACAGCAAGTTGGCGGGAATCGTGCAGGCCGCAGGCAGCGGCAGCCAACAGCAGGCATGCCGCAAGTGTCAATGGCGCGGCAGACCGCACTGGACGGCATGCCGCACTACTCGCCTTTAGTGTGTCGCCGGTCCAGGTCTGGGCTGTGATGGTGTGCAGGCTGCTGTCGCTCCAGCCGCAGCCGGCGCCAGTACTAGTACAGGGGTATGCCGCCACGTCCTCCAGCGCTACCGGCAGCATGCCGGTGAGCTGCGTGTGCAGGGGGGAGGGAAGGCGGGGAGGCACCTTTACAGAGCCAGCTAGCTTGCATGCGCTGCTGCTGGTGCCCCCGCCTGGGGTCCCCGCCATGCCGCAGGCGCCGTGCTGCCTGCTGCGGCTGCCCCGCCGCACCTGGATGGTCTTGCCGTTCAGCGCTTTGTCTGAGATGTACTCCGGGTCGGTGGCATTGTACTGCTGGACGACGTTGGGGTAGGCGATGTAGTTGTTGAGGACCTGCGGGTCAGGGCGATGTGCAGCAACATGTGCGGCATAGCTGGGTACGCCCGCTTAGTTTTGCAGGCTGCTGCTCGCGAGGGCAGACCCCAGCATGCAGCTCTGGAAGACCCCAGCATGTGTCTTGCCGGCAGGTCGTAGAAGACACCATACCATGTTCGCTGGGGGTGCGAGTCTCACCTGGAGCAGCACGTTGCCCGACACCGGCGCCGTGCTGGTGTTGTACGCGACGCCGTCGTCCCAGCGGCAGTCGAGGCGGGTGGCGGCGGTGTCGTTGCGGGTCAGCGTGTGCAGCTTTACCACGGTGCCGTTGCCCATCTGGCAGCTGCAGGCGGCAGCAGGGCGGGATGCTGGCTGAATGGAGGTGTCACGGCGGGATGGGGAGGGCGGGGGGGGGGGTCAGGCACATATGCGCCAAGCACAGCGCCACGTGCCGCACCAAGGGGGCCCGCAGCCAAGTAGCGGCCGCAGGCTTACAGCTGGGGGGTCAGGCCCGGGCGGTAATAGTTGTAGCCGCAGCCCACCGCGCCGTTGTCGGGCAGGTGGATGTCTTTGCATGCGGGGAGCGGTACCATGTTCTTGATCAAGTTGCCGTCGGGCTTGCGCAGCCGGATCTGCTGATCCCGGAACACAGACGGGTTCTTGTGCTGCGCGGCAGGGGAGGGGAGGGCAGAGGGCTTTGCTGGTCACATCAGCCGCGCTCTGCCTTGGCCCCAGGGGATCGTGTAGAGGGCAGGAGCACCGTGGGGAGCCCACCCCAACGTGCACGTCTCCGCCGCTCGTACCCTCACCCCCTCACCTGCACTGACACAACCTGGAAGGTGCCTGTGCGGGGCAGGACCTGGTTGTAAGGGTAGCAGCCGCTCTGGATGGAGTGCCCCAGCGGCTGCACCCTGCCTGTGCCCTCGTCGTCCTGCCACCACCACTCATAGCTGCGCACAGCAGCAGCGCGGGGGGGGGGGGGGAGTGCGGGCAAGGGGATGAGCGCCAACAGGCAGCGGGAGAGTGGCGTGCCGTTGAAAGAACGATAGGGGAGGAAGCAGGAGCCCATTCCCAGGCCGCGGCATGCAGTCCCGTGTCCCAGGTTGAGGCGGCACTGCCGGCGGGGAGGTGCTGTCGTACCGCCACAAAGCAGGGCGACTAGAGCCTCCCCCATCGCGTTCACCCAACTCAGAGCCCCTCCCTCACCTGACCCACAGGGGGGAGCCGGAAGTGCAGTTCATGGGATGGGGGCTGAAGGAGGCGGGCAGCAGGAATGTGGGCTTGGGCGGCAGCGGCGCCACCGCGCCTGGCGGCGCCATCACCGCCAGTAGCGCCACTGCCGCCACCAGGTGGCTGCGCAGGTGGCGCTGCATGGCGGCGCTGGGCCTATCCTGTCGCCACGGCCGCGTCAGAAGACGGAAAGGGGTTCCTGTGGCACCTGGCGTGCAGGCCGTTGGCCAGTCGCGAACGCGGCCAAGTTGCGGCACCGCCTGCTTGGCGCAGATCGCCGCACAGCGGTGCTGGGCAGACGAGAATGGGGATGCGGCAGCCAGGCGGCGCATGATCTCTCCTCCCGCCATCATGCATGGCAGGGGCGCCGCGGGGAAGCCGCCGCTGCGGGCACAATCCCCCCAAAGCCTTTCCGTTGCAAGATGCTGGGTTTGACATGAGATGCGGCATGAATTCAGAAGTTCAGAATAGAGAGCAACCACAAGCTGCTGTGCTGAGTCGCAATGGTGCTAAAGAGGCAGCAGGGTGGCGGCGCTCGAAACGACCCCTCTGCCGGCTCGGCGAGCGGCCGCCATCACGAGCCCTGGGGCATCCACCTGCGGGCCCCGGACAGGAAAGCGGTG